ATCACCGTGGTGGTGATCTGCCTTCAGCAGTGTTGGCAGATAACAAGCCTAGGATCATCTGCCACCTTGAAATGATCCCACACTACACTACTCCCCTGCTTCTCGGTTGAGGGTGGGGCTCCAGCCTTATCCCCTTCCTCAGCAGGCTGAGGCACAACAGCAGGAGGAGCTGACTCAGCTGAGCCACTTGTCTGAGCCTCCACAACCTCAACCTCCTCCAAGGTGCTTTCTGGAGAAGGAGACCTGGGTCATGGGGAACTTTGAGGGGTGTGGAGCACAAAGACAGATTCCCCGTTGGTCCCCAGAATTTCTTTTGCCAGAGCGCTCAGGTCCCCTGGTTCCAGATCCAGCTCCTCCTCTGGCAGTAGGAGGTTCATGCTGGGAGATGAAATCGGAATGGAGAAGACTGTTACTCTGCTACTGGTGCCTATTTCTGGCGTTAGGGGAGGTGGTGCAGGTTCAGGGACACATACTGCTCCCACCTCCTTGCTTCCACTGGCAGCAGAAGCCTCATGGCTGCCAGGAAAAAGGATGCATCTATGTTTGGGGGGGTGGGGGGACTTGCAGCTCTAGCTCTCCCCCTACCCCTCTAGCCCCTCTCCATTCCCTGCCAGAAGACCTGGCACCTGCCTTTCCAGCACACTTCATATTAATCTTTCCTGTGCTGGAAAATGTCTGTGTATCTGACTTCTTCTGTGTTGTGTTTTGTTTACTGTTCTGTGGTGTTTTGTAGTGTGCCTAAAATATCTATTATCTTCTTCTTCTTCTTCTATAACTCTCTGACTTGCGTGAATCTGTATCTGAGTTCTGTGTTGTGTGTAGTGTGATTTAGGTAATGGTATGATTGATTATTAATAACTATATATAATTTGGTGTCTTATTCTGTGGTGTGAATCTGAATGTGTAACTTCTTCTTCTTCTGTCTTGTGTTTGGTTTACTGTTCTGTGTTGTTGTGTAGTACCTAAAAATCTGTTCTCTTCTTTTTCTTCTTCTTCTTCTATGACTGTCTGACTTCTATGTTGTGTTAATCTGACTGCTTCTTCTGTGTTGTTTTTAGTCTGTATGTAACTAACTATAACTAATAATATTAATAACTATATATAATCTCTTCTTCTTCTGCTATGAATGTCTGGCTTCTTCTTCTATGATGTATGTGTGTGGGTGTGTGTAATGTGTGCATCCCTGCACAGTGATGGATCACACTGTTGGGGAAAACACAGCTTTCTTTTTAAAATGTTTTGGGGAAAAAAAGCCAAGAACAAATATAAATTGAAAGAAATGAATTGGATAGGGATAATTAAAGTAGAGGGATTCTAGTTAGTAAGCTAAGCTAAGCTATATCCTATCCAATCCCTTCTAAGAACAAAAAGTAGCCGGTGACTGACTAGGAAGCCAAGCCAGTCCAGTACCTTTCAGGCGCTGTTGCTTACTCAGGCAGAAACAGCTTACAAAAGGCACAGAATGCCTGCAGACAGAGGCTTATATGCTATTTCTATGTCCCTCCCCCAGACACTGTAATTGGAAGGGGACTCGGGGAGAGATCAAAATCACTGGCCAGCTAGAGATGTCACCCCCACGGCTCCTCGTCCCTCTTCTCAGTTTCTCTTTCCCAGAAAGAGCACCTCCAAATCTCCAAATTTCCCAATCTTTTCTGAATCTTTTCAGAATCGATTCAGAGGCTCTGAAGTTTCTCCGAATCAGGCTGAATCTTCTCAGAATCGAATCGCGCACCAAAGCATCACACAACCCTAATATTTATCTTTGACAATGAAGGGTCTGGTTTAAAAAAGAAACACTTGTGCCTTTAA